GCTACCAACTCGAATGAGAGCTAAAGGGGACATCTTTGGGACCTGTAGGTTGGCGGCCTACAGGGTTTATAAGCTCAAATGAGGGCCAAATGGGGCAAGCCTGCAATTGCAGGTCAGCTACCTACTACGGGGCTACAGGGTTTATAAGCTCAAATGAGGGCCAAATGGGGCAAGCCTGCAATTGCAGGTCAGCTACCTACTAGGGGGCTACCAACTCGAATGAGAGCTAAAGGGGGCAACTTTGGGACCTGTAGGTTGGCGGCCTACAGGGTTTACAAGCTCGAATGAGGGCCAAATGGGGCAAGCCTGCAATTGCAGGTCAGCTACCTACTACGGGGTTACCAACTCGAATGAGAGCTAAAGGGGGCAACTTTGGGACCTGTAGGTTGGCGGCCTACAGGGTTTATAAGCTCAAATGAGGGCCAAATGGGGCAAGCCTGCAATTGCAGGTCAGCTACCTACTACGGGGTTACCAACTCGAATGAGAGCGAAAGGGGGCAACTTTGGGACCTGTAGGTTGGCGGCCTACAGGGTTTATAAGCTCAGGGCCAAATGGGGCAAGCCTGCAATTGCAGGTCAGCTACCTACTACGGGGTTACCAACTCGAATGATAGCTAAAGGGGACATCTTTGGGACCTGTAGGTTGGCGGCCTACAGGGTTTATAAGCTCAAATGAGGGCCAAATGGAGCAAGCCTGCAATTGCAGGTCAGCTACCTACTACGGGGCTACCAACTTGAATGAGAGCTAAAGGGGACATCTTTGGGACCTGTAGGTTGGTGGCCTACAGGGTTTATAAGCTCGAATGAGGGCCAAATGGGGCAAGCCTGCAATTGCAGGTCAGCTACCTATTACGGGGTTACCAACTCGAATGAGAGCTAAAGGGGGCAACTTTGGGACCTGTAGGTTGGCGGCCTACAGGGTTTATAAGCTCAAATGAGGGCCAAATGGGGCAAGCCTGCAATTGCAGGTCAGCTACCTACTACGGGGCTACCAGCTCGAATGATAGCTAAAGGGGACATCTTTGGGACCTGTAGGTTGGCGGCCTACAGGGTTTATAAGCTCAACTGAGGGCCAAATGGGGCAAGCCTGCAATTGCAGGTCAGCTACCTACTAAGGGGTTGCCAACTCGAATGAGAGCTAAAGTAAAGGGCGCAACTTTGGGACCTGTGGGTTGGCGGCCTACAGGGTTTATAAGCTCAAATGAGGGCCAAATGGGGCAAGCCTGCAATTGCAGGTCAGCTACCTACTACGGGGTTACCAACTCGAATGAGAGCTAAAGGGGGCAACTTTGGGACCTGTAGGTTGGCGGCCTACAGGGTTTATAAGCTCAACTGAGGGCCAAATGGGGCAAGCCTGCAATTGCAGGTCAGCTACCTACTACGGGGTTACCAACTCGAATGAGAGCTAAAGGGGGCAACTTTGGGACCTGTAGGTTGGCGGCCTACAGGGTTTATAAGCTCGAATGAGGGCCAAATGGGGCAAGCCTGCAATTGCAGGTCAGCTACCCACTACGGGGTTACCAACTCGAACGAGAGCTAAAGGGGGCAACTTTGGGACCTGTAGGTTGGCGGCCTACAGGGTTTATAAGCTCAAATGAGGGCCAAATGGGGCAAGCCTGTAATTGCAGGTCAGCTACCTACTACGGGGTTACCAACTCGAATGAGAGCTAAAGGGGGCAACTTTGGGACCTGTAGGTTGGCGGCCTACAGGGTTTATAAGCTCAACTGAGGGCCAAATGGGGCAAGCCTGCAATTGCAGGTCAGCTACCTACTAAGGGGTTGCCAACTCGAATGAGAGCTAAAGTAAAGGGCAACTTTGGGACCTGTGGGTTGGCGGCCTACAGGGTTTATAAGCTCAAATGAGGGCCAAATGGGGCAAGCCTGCAATTGCAGGTCAGCTACCTACTACGGGGTTACCAACTCGAATGAGAGCTAAAGGAGGCAACTTTGGGACCTGTAGGTTGGCGGCCTACAGGGTTTATAAGCTCAACTGAGAGCCAAATGAGGCAAGCCTGCAATTGCAGGTCAGCTACCTACTACGGAGTTACCAACTCGAATGAGAGCTAAAGGGGGCAACTTTGGGACCTGTAGGTTGGCGGCCTACAGGGTTTATAAGCTCAAATGAGGGCCAAATGGGGCAAGCCTGCAATTGCAGGTCAGCTACCTACTACGGGGTTACCAACTCGAATGAGAGCTAAAGGGGGCAACTTTGGGACCTGTAGGTTGGCGGCCTACAGGGTTTATAAGCTCAACTGAGAGCCAAATGAGGCAAGCCTGCAATTGCAGGTCAGCTACCTACTACGGGGTTACCAACTCGAATGAGAGCTAAAGGGGGCAACTTTGGGACCTGTAGGTTGGCCGGCCTGTCCTACAGGGTTTTATAAGCTCAAATGAGGGCCAAATGGGGCAAGCCTGCAATTGCAGGTCAGCTACCTACTACGGGGTTACCAACTCGAATGAGAGCTAAAGGGGACATCTTTGGGACCTGTAGGTTAGCGGCCTACAGGGTTTATAAGCTCGAATGAGGGCCAAATGGGGCAAGCCTGCAATTGCAGGTCAGCTACCTATTACAGGGTTACCAACTCGAATGAGAGCTAAAGGGGGCAACTTTGGGACCTGTAGGTTGGCGGCCTACAGGGTTTATAAGCTCAAATGAGGGCCAAATGGGGCAAGCCTGTAATTGCAGGTCAGCTACCTACTACGGGGTTGCCAACTCGAATGAGAGCTAAAGGGGGCAACTTTGGGACCTGTAGGTTGGCGGCCTACAGGGTTTATAAGCTCAAATGAGGGCCAAATGGGGCAAGCCTGCAATTGCAGGTCAGCTACCTACTAAGGGGTTGCCAACTCGAATGAGAGCTAAAGTAAAGGGCGCAACTTTGGGACCTGTGGGTTGGCGGCCTACAGGGTTTATAAGCTCAAATGAGGGCCAAATGGGCAAGGCCTGCAATTTGCAGGGTCAGCTACCTACTACGGGGCTACCAACTCGAATGAGAGCTAAAGGGGGCAACTTTGGGACCTGTAGGTTGGCGGCCTACAGGGTTTATAAGCTCAACTGAGGGGCAAATGGGGCAAGCCTGCAATTGCAGGTCAGCTACCTACTACGGGGCTACCAACTCGAATGAGAGCTAAAGGGGACATCTTTGGGACCTGTAGGTTGGCGGCCTACAGGGTTTGTAAGCTCGAATGAGGGCCAAATGGGGCAAGCCTGCAATTGCAGGTCAGCTACCTATTACGGGGTTACCAACTCGAATGAGAGCTAAAGGGGGCAACTTTGGGACCTGTAGGTTGGCGGCCTACAGGGTTTATAAGCTCAAATGAGGGCCAAATGGGGCAAGCCTACAATTGCAGGTCAGCTACCTACTACGGGGCTACCAGCTCGAATGATAGCTAAAGGGGACATCTTTGGGACCTGTAGGTTGGCGGCCTACAGGGTTTACAAGCTCGAATGAGGGCCAAATGGGGCAAGCCTGCAATTGCAGGTCAGCTACCTACTACGGGGTTGCCAACTCGAATGAGAGCTAAAGGGGGCAACTTTGGGACCTGTAGGTTGGCGGCCTACAGGGTTTATAAGCTCAAATGAGGGCCAAATGGGGCAAGCCTGCAATTGCAGGTCAGCTACCTACTACGGGGTTACCAACTCGAATGATAGCTAAAGGGGACATCTTTGGGACCTGTAGGTTGGCGGCCTACAGGGTTTATAAGCTCAAATGAGGGCCAAATGGAGCAAGCCTGCAATTGCAGGTCAGCTACCTACTACGGGGCTACCAACTTGAATGAGAGCTAAAGGGGACATCTTTGGGACCTGTAGGTTGGTGGCCTACAGGGTTTATAAGCTCGAATGAGGGCCAAATGGGGCAAGCCTGCAATTGCAGGTCAGCTACCTATTACGGGGTTACCAACTCGAATGAGAGCTAAAGGGGGCAACTTTGGGACCTGTAGGTTGGCGGCCTACAGGGTTTATAAGCTCAAATGAGGGCCAAATGGGGCAAGCCTGTAATTGCAGGTCAGCTACCTACTACGGGGTTGCCAACTCGAATGAGAGCTAAAGGGGGCAACTTTGGGACCTGTAGGTTGGCGGCCTACAGGGTTTATAAGCTCAACTGAGGGCCAAATGGGGCAAGCCTGCAATTGCAGGTCAGCTACCTACTAAGGGGTTGCCAACTCGAATGAGAGCTAAAGTAAAGGGCAACTTTGGGACCTGTGGGTTGGCGGCCTACAGGGTTTATAAGCTCAAATGAGGGCCAAATGGGGCAAGCCTGCAATTGCAGGTCAGCTACCTACTACGGGGTTACCAACTCGAATGAGAGCTAAAGGAGGCAACTTTGGGACCTGTAGGTTGGCGGCCTACAGGGTTTATAAGCTCAACTGAGAGCCAAATGAGGCAAGCCTGCAATTGCAGGTCAGCTACCTACTACGGAGTTACCAACTCGAATGAGAGCTAAAGGGGGCAACTTTGGGACCTGTAGGTTGGCGGCCTACAGGGTTTATAAGCTCGACTGAGGGCCAAATGGGGCAAGCCTGCAATTGCAGGTCAGCTACCTACTACGGGGTTACCAACTCGAGTGATAGCTAAAGGGGGCAACTTTGGGACCTGTAGGTTGGCGGCCTACAGGGTTTATAAGCTCGAATGACTGCCAAATGGTGCAAGCCTGCAATTGCAGGTCAGCTACCTACTACGGGGTTACTGGGACCTGTAGGTTGGCGGCCTACAGGGTTTATAAGCTCAAATGAGGGCCAAATGGGGCAAGCCTGCAATTGCAGGTCAGCTACCTACTAAGGGGTTGCCAACTCGAATGAGAGCTAAAGTAAAGGGCGCAACTTTGGGGCCTATAGGGTTTATAAGCTCAAATGAGGGCCAAATGGGGCAAGCCTGCAATTGCAGGTCAGCTACCTACACCTCCTAGCCCTCATTTGTTTAGCCACCTTGCTCGAGCTCCTAAGTCACTGAAGCACCAATGGCCAAACAGTCCGAACTATATTCAAGAATTGGCTACTATACTTCACTGATCTTCACTGGAGTCACCCTCCCATCCGTCTCTCAGGACGGGACCAGGGCCTGTCTCAGAAGCCTCAGAACGAGCTTCTTGCCTGGCTTCCTTGGTGCTTTGTGGTGCCCAGTCGAAGTTCACTTGGCCTCACAGGAGAGAATTTAAGTTCGTCTTGTCCCTCTGTCAAGTAATCTGACATGGAATCGAATCTAACATCAAAGTACATACATGATATTCAAACTATATATATATAACTACGTATACGCAACTACATATACGCAACTACATGTACGTAAGTACATATACATAAGTACACATACATAAGTACATGTACGTAACTACATATACGTATCTACATATACGTAACTAATATATATATATATATACATATACGTATGCGTACCGTATACGTATACATAGACATAAATAACATAGTCCATTTATAACTTATATTACTAACATCTTTCGAAGCCAGATTCAGCGTGATTCAATGTGCATATCTCCTACTTTCCACCAAGGAGACGATTCACTGAGTTGCCTTCACCCACGCTAAGGGCAGCTGGCCGATCCTTTAGCATCAAACCGGCCTGGACGAGTCTGGGGTTGGAGTCTACCTACACCATCCAAGCTTTGGATCGAAAACGCAGAACAGGATTCACATGTTGTCCCTGGTCTTATCTTATCCGCTCTTCTTGGCGGTGCTCCCCTGATGCTGTTGCAATGTCCGAAATTTGAGGGTCCAACCTCGCGATGTAGCCGAACTGTCAAGGCCTCAGGTTAACCATGTGATGGAGGCTACATGAGGCTACCCTGTTGATTCCTGTTGTGCGCTTGTTAACTAAAACTCAGGTCACAACCTGTGATGTTTACCACTCCCCCCTCCACTTGGCCCGGGAGACCCAACAATCAAATCCACATCGTTGGTGGACAAAAAACCCAGGTCGCCGGTGGCCTGGTAAGGGCAAAACGGAAATCAAACAGCTCTTGATCCTGCCAGACTCTTGAACTTCATTGGAGACTCGCCCCAGGATGACCAACAAAAAATGGCTCATTATCCACCAGCACACCAAGATAGACCAAGGAGAAAATTGGGTAGTTTTCAAGAAAATTGTGTTTTTGACTAATGAGGGTTGATCAAGTGGACGTCTGGAGCACGTTCCTGCGGTGTTTGCAATTTCTTTCCGAGAGAACCGCCATCACTTGCGTTTAACAAAAAACAACAACGACCAACAATCAACAGCTACTGCTGCATCTCATACAGCACACCGCTGTGGTAAACTTGTGGCGAGGGGCAAGGGACCAAAGCTAGCAATGCACTTGTGTGAATGGTCATGATTACAACCCATGATGCTGATGCCGATGACATTAGAACAGAAACAACACACATGCTCACAATGCTGACAATGACACATAGCTAAAACCATGACCATGATGGCAATGACCAAATCAAAACCTGGAAAACGCCAGAAACTTTGGGCGGTACAGTACAATCCTACAAACATCACTCAATTTGTGTTTGAGTACGAGCAAAGCAATGTTGCCAACATTTTGAGTATATATATATGTAAATATATATGTAAATATACATGTAAATATATACATATATATATGTAAATATATATGTAAATATATATGTAAATATATATGTAAATATATATGTAAATATATAGATATATTAATATGTGTATATATCAATATATAGATAGAGAGTGGGGGACTGTGGGAGTGCGTTTTTTTCACTGATGTTGCTTCAAGATCTCATCTATCTGTCAGCGATGTTGCTGCAAGATCTCATCTATATGCATACCTCAAAATTTCATCCAGCTGGGGTCACAAGAAACAAAACATAATGCACATGCACAACGAGAAGCTAAGCAACGCTATCAACGATTCTATGTCATTGCTACTCTACCCCTGTGGATGAACAAGATCACACCCCTCATCTCAGATGCCCTTCGATGATACATCCATACTGTATTATACTTATATATATATAGAGGTATGTATTGTGGAAGAACTGTTGGCCTCAAGTCTTGTGCGTATACGATACATATCCAAGTTTGCACATCAGGCAACAAGAAATTACAAGGACATACAAGGACATGAAAGCAAACCCGCCAAACAGCTGAGACAATTCAGTTTGGTAGAAATATGCCAAAATACATTCATTTTTGCTATGAAATATTGTATTGTATTGAACCAATGTCAGAGAAATTTCAATTTTGCCCGGTTGCGCCATGCTCAAATGATAGGGTTGTGTTTGCTTCTATGTTGCATGTCTTTATAGCAAGTGTAAACAAGAGGAAACAACACTTTTGATTGACAGAAGATTTCATTTTGTCCCCAAGCAGTACTGCATCTTCCTGACAGAGTTCCCGGCATAAGAAAAAAGAGATATGGAATGTGTTGCAAGGGTAAGCATACTCTTCCCTTGAAAAATGTTGTGTGGTTAAACCCTAGTACAGTATCAACTCAGATTTTAAGGGCAGCAGCATGCTTCTCACAAGTCAACATTTAAAATGAAAAAGAATGTGGCATTCCTTGGAAGTTGTGGCAAACCTCCATTCAGCATTCTTCTACAGAGAGGGCAACATTCCTTTGAGAAAGTGTAGCATGACTTTGAAGCAAGACCCTGAGATGTACATAGCATTCCTTTAGAACAAGTGCGTTCTGTCTTCCATGTATTTTAATAAAAAGTTGTAATTCCTTCCATAGAGGTAGTAGTCCTTTTAAAGAAGGGTAGCATTTCTTTAAGATATATATATTTTTTGAATATACATTAGCGTCTCTCAAAAGTGCAGCATTCCTTTAAGACAGGACTTGATGGCTTCATGAAATATGGACTTAAACAATGGTGTTATGCAATATTCCTTTGGAATATATATGTATATATATGGAAATACAATATCATTTTCAAATAACATAATTCACTGTATGATGTATGATACTATTAAATATATAAATATATGTATACACAATATTCCTTTCAAAAGTGTGTAGCATCCCTTGAAAAAGTAACCTTCAAGACACACAGCAGTCCTTGTGGAAGAGTATGGCTGAGTATGGTATTATTTAAGCTCTTGTACAAAAGGTAACCCTTTCATATATACAACAATCCCTTTGAAAGAGGGGCATGTTTCTGTACGAAAACGCAATGCATGGAATTGTCCTTTGAAAAAATATAGTATTCCTTGCAGAAGGTATATATGACATTATTTTGAAAGGGATTGAACGGGTATTTTTCAATAAACAGTTGCACTTTGAGACACCATGGTATTCCTTGAGGACGGTGCAACATGCCTTTATGCAAATTTCCTTGAAAAAAATGCAATATATTTGTTCATTCCTTTGAACACACGCTGGTATTCCTTGCTCAGAAAAAAACACACAAACAGAACCACCACCTCTAAAAAATAGAAAATAATGCCTTCTTTCCTCTTTTAGAAAATAAAAAACAAAGTTTCCCACCTCAGAAAACAAAAAAATCGAAAAACATAGATTTTTTTAGTTCAGAGAGGTCCCTCTTAGGAGCCTATTTTTTTTTGACAATTGGTTCCTGCATGCCGACATGTGGAAATAGACACAACGAAGTCCCGAGGAAGAAATTTGATCTCAGTGAAGGGCCGGAAGTGAAATTGATGAAAACATCGAGAAAACAATTAAAAACTAACCCTATGTCTCAACCAATCATGGACCTCCATTGATTTGTTTTTTTTTGGTTTTGGTTTTGTAAAGTGAGTTGGATGCCAAAACAGAAGAGCATTGTGCAGACAGCATTGAAGAAATTGATTGTGTTTAATGTTGGCGCGCTCCCCTGATCCCCTTTCTGTAAATCTATATGTATATCTATATCTATATATATATATATATAGATATAGATATAGATATCGATATAGATATAGATATAGATATCAAAAGAAATTTATATAGTTTGAAAGCTTCCGAGTTATGAACGACTTCTCATCGTGTCATTAATTGATCGCCATCATGTCATCATCATGCCATGATGTGATCATGATGTCAACCACGTAGTGAGCAAGGGCAGTTCATGTGAGGGAGCAGTAGAGGAGAGTATAACAGATCGGGCACGTGTGAATTCATGGGTGAAAAGCACTCTCGTGTGTGAAACCCTTGCTTTTTTCGGGTAACGCGGCTCCCGGGGTCGCCGAAGGAGGGTCTCTGTTCCGCGGTTCAGGGCTCGATGCCGACAAAAATGTGCACGGGACGGTAGCCAGAGCTCGATTTGCATCAAACGAGGTCGGCAAAATGTCCGCCAGACTGTAGCAAGAGCTCGGGTTGCACTTGACTTCAGAATTTTAAAAAACTGAGGCGTGGGCACCACTTTTGCTTACCAGACTGATAGCGAGAACTCGATTTCACAAGAAAATCGTAGAAAACCCTCATGTTCGGAGCGGCCCTGGATTTGTGCGGTCGAGTCCCCATTGTCAGCGCTGCGCAGCGTTGGTTGATTTGGTGTGACGCTCCTGCTATGCGTGTTTGCAACCGGCTGTGACAAAACGCATTGACAAGGCTGCACGCAACAAAGCATGAGTGATACTGCGATGCTCCTGGCAAGCGGGATTGCAGCTGGAGGTTGCTAAACGCATTGTAACAGCTGCGCAAAAGGTAGATTCGCTAAACGGATTGTACCAGCTGCGCGAATAGAAGAATAGGGTTGCAGAAGCTACAGAAGAGCTAGCTGGGAGGCAGCTCAGAGCAAAAGTAGCCCAGATAAGTGGCTCTTCAGAGAAGAAATAGCTGGAAGGTTGAAATTATGGTGGTGGCAGGTTCCGCATTCCAGAGTCTCACACTTCAGAAATTCACTCATCGATGTCCTCAGCATCCCTTCATTCACTGCCTCTTTCCTTCATTCCTCCATTCATGCCCTCTTTCCCTCATTCCGTCATTCATTCGTTCAGTCCTTCCTTCACTCTTTGACTCATTCATCAAAACATTCATCAAAACATTCATCAAAACATTCATCAAAACATTCATCAAAACATTCATCAAAACATTCATCAGGCCCGTCCATCAAAACATTAATTATTAATTTATTCACTCGTTCGTTCGTTCATTCACTCATGCCCTCATTCCCTTATGCCTTCATTCCGTCATTCATTCGGTCACTCAATCCTTCCCTCATTTCATTCATTCATTCATTCGTTCATGAATTCATTCTTTCTTTCTTCCTTTCTTCCTTCCTTCATTCCTTCATTCATTCATTCATTTCATGTCATTTCATGTCATTTCATTTCATTTCATGCTATTCATTTCATTTCATGTCATTTCATGTCATTTCATGTCATGTCATTTCATTCATTGCATCTTTCTTTCGTTGCAAGCTTCATTCCACTTTTCCCAGTTCACAAAAAAATCTATAAGCTTTCTTCTTCCTATGGTCTCGTCCCATTTCGGAAACTTCCGCCCCGGCGCGTGCCCAGCACTAGACAAAACAGACATATCCGAACAAGTGTGTTGGCAAGGTCTGTCAAGTCGAGTCTGTGGCATGTTGGTGTGGAGTTTTGCTGCTTCACACAAACTGCGCGGGCTAGTCTGTTTAATAATCATTAATAATCTCTTGACAAGA